AATTAGAGACCTATCTCTAAATTAACTGATTGCTCCAAGCTTTTTGAGGAGGTGGTAATGGAGAAACTATCTTTTACCCTAAAAATTATCGTGAATCCTCGTCAGCATGGTTTTGTCGGTGGTCGTTCTACCGTAACGAACCTCGCTGTTTTTTCTGAATTTTGTATATCTGCGTTCAGAAATGGGTCCCAAGTGGACAGCCGCTATACAGATTTCTCCAAGGCGTTTGATACGGTACCACATTCAATTTTGCTTCGTAAATTAAGAAGCATTAGTTTCCATTCGGTTTTCTTAAATTGGTTAAAGTCACATCTTTCAAATAGAACCCTGTTTGTTGAAATTGAAAACTGCAGGTCTTCTCAATTTGCCGCTACTTCGGGGGTGCCCCAAGGCAGTGTGCTTGGTCCGCTGTTGTTCGTCCTGTTTATTAACGATATCGGGTCCTGTTTCAGTAACTCTGATTACTTGCTGTATGCCGATGATCTGAAACTGTTTCGTAAAATCAATTGTGTCTCCGATTCGCGGCTACTTCAGGAAGATCTGTTTAATCTCCGAGTATGGTGCCAAAAAAATATGTTATCCCTCAATATAAAGAAATGCTTCCATATGACCCTCACTAAAACATCTAAAATTTTTCTAACTATTATATTTCAAATGTACATACAACTCGCTTCAGTTAATGACTTTGTTGATCTTGGTGTCGTTTTTGACTCTAGGCTCACCTTTGTTAATCACATATGCCATATTCTTCCGAAGGCTTACAGGAACCTAGCTTTTCTGCGAAGGCATGCGAAGGATTTTAAGGATCCCTATACAAGGAAAACTCTCTTTAACTCTCTTGTTCGTTCAAAGTTTGAATATGCCTCGGTTATCTGGAGCCCTATATATAATTGCCATGCACTTCGCATCGAACGTGCCCTTCAGCCGCATCGATTCTCTGACCCTCTTCCGCCCTATATAACTCGTTGCAAGCTTATAGATTTAAACTCTCTTGAGTGTAGAAGACATGTCCATTCCCTTATGTTTGTTTACGACTTGATTTCTGGCGTCATTGATTGTCCGGAATTACTTGTGCATATCGGTTTCAATGTCCCGAGCAGAATATTGCGGTTTGTCCCGCCGTTTTATGTTATCCCTGCTAAAGCTAATTATTGGGCTCAATTCCCGATTTGGAGGGCTCTTAACGAACTTAATGCAATTTCAAAAAATTTAAATATTGAATTTTCTATTAGTAGGCAGTCTTTCAGAAGTTTAATGGAATCTGTGTACTCCTAGTGTAGTTCTTAATTTTTTACCTATTAATTTTATTCTAGTCTGTAAGATTCTTTGTAATCATAGACTCAATAAACACTGAATTGAATTAAATTGCACAGAATAGTTTGCATTGGCATAACAGGAGCTATGAAGACTTGCCCGGCCGATGCACCAGCGCCCTGATTGGAATACCTCCCTTTCCTATTTTAATAGAAAAGGAGGCTACCACAGCGGCACTGAGAATCCTGAACACATCCGACCTGAAAATTCGAAATATGATGGGCCACATGAAGGTAATGAAATTCGTTAATGACCCCATACTACAAATGCGCGATGCAATGGTTCCAAAACTATAAATCTCTAGGAAATTTGAGGTACACATTGCAGATCGAGCTCTCTGGAATACAGGGAACCCATACACCTAACCTAATGGGGAGGTTTGGTACACTGATGGATCTAAGCTTGAAAATGGTAAAACTGGGGCTGGCATTTTTGGGCCGAACTTTAAAAAATCGATACCAATGGGTAGCTACCCCACCATCTTTCAGGCCGAGATTCATGCAATAGAAATTTGTGGCAGAGAATGTCTTAGAAGGGGAACGTCATCGAAATATATCTGCATTATGTCGGACAGTCAGGCAGCCCTTCTGGCCCTGAAGTCCCACAAAATAAGTTCTCAGCTAGTATATGATTGCCGCAATGTCCTAAATGCTCTTAGTGACAAGAATACAATTTTACTAGGATGGGTACCAGGGCATGAGGGACATGATGGCAATGAGGAGGCTGACTGCCTAGCGAAACAGGGAGCTGCCGCAGTATTTTATGGTCCGGAACCCTTTTGTGGGCTCACCAAAGCACATATAAAGGGGACCAAAGAAAAACTGGGTAGACAAAATGTTCAACAGGCATTGGATGGAATGTCCAGGGCAAAGACAAGCCAAACGATTTATCAGTCCTTCAAACGAAGTTTCAAAGAAACTAATCAATTTAAGCAGAGAGGACCTCAAAACTCTCACTGGGTACTACAAGGGACACTGTTCTCTTCGTTACCACCTCAGTAAAATCAATCTTTCAGAAACAAACGTCTGTCGCTTCTATGAGCTGGAGGAAGAAACGCCAGAACACATTATCTGTGAATGTGAAGCTCTCGTTAGGCGCAGTTTAGCCCACTTTGGTGGCGCTACCCTTAATCCATTTGAAATTTGAAAGAAAACGCCATTGGAGGCGCTAGGCTACATTAAGAGCCTTTCCATATAGGCCGGGGCCACGCACAATAGACCACTGAAGAACACTGCTTCACCTACGGCAGTTAATATGGTAGAATTAGAGCGAGAAGTTGCCAACCGATAACACCTTGTATTATTGCATCATGAGCCACAATGATGTTGTAGTAAGCAAATTGACGCGTTCATAAGACGTAGCTGTTTAGCTCAACTCCTACGAAACTGCTGGCAACTGTTGAACACAATAATGACGTCTTAGAAACGGCTTGATAAATATGCTGTCAAATGAAGAGCTGATGAATGTAAGCAAATAAAATTGCAATAAATATCCAATTCAACGCAATATTTCAGTTACATTATCACATTAGTAATATAAAATTCGACAAACTCGTTTGCAGCTGCCACCTAACGAAGCGGCGATACATTTAATATAAACGGCGAAAGTCGTTTCGATCAGCTGTTTAGGCTAACCACAACCAGTTGAGTTCAGGTAGCGAAACAATTTTGCGATGGAAAAAAAGGCGGAAAGTTGGCGACTGTTGAGCTGAGCGGAACTACTCAACTGCGCGTTTCTAAGACAAACAGTCAACGGTTAGACAGCAGCTACGTCTTATAAACGCGCCCAACACTCAGAGAAGGAATCACGTTTTTCGTACTCGACCTTAGCATTCCCAAACTTAAAATCGGACTAAGATTATTGATGGCACGATTAATCGAATAATCTACTATAATCGGATATTTTCATTAGGTTAACGATTTAATTGTATCGAAAGTTTCCTTTCGATTAATCGAGCGATTAACCGATTAATTTGCAAAATAATCGAAAGAAACCATCCAAAATTTACTACTTTACTCACACAATAATGTATGAATCAAAATTACGTACACAAATTTGGCACTCTAACCACTCAATAATAATAGCAACAATAAAAGTGTCCATTCTACTCTAATTTTACTAGTTGGGAGACTTTTTACATTCTCGTATTTTGCAAATTTTTAAAACGATATTTTTGCAAAAAACCGCCACACACGTTTAACCAAAGTAACAACTAAAAAATCGTAAATCAACGCTTTTTTTTTGTATGGAAAATTAGCAACACCTTCAACAAAACAAAAATTCCAAAAATCAACGGTAAGTGCCAGATATTAATCTTGCAATTTTTAACCGACTTCCAAAGAAGGAGTAGGTTATCAGTTCGTCGGAATATTTTTTTTTTATGTATGTTACCGCATAACTTTGGACCACGTTGAGAACTGAAGTCGTTTTTTTTGCTAAAAATTCCTTGTTTATGTAAGAATTTAATGGGCTAAAAACTGAATACTATGTAACGGATGGTATACTACATCTTTTAATGTAATGCTTGAATTCGTTTTTAGTTTTTATGATTGTTTGAGCACTGAATTCATAGCGCAAGTTTCCACAATTTAATAAGAAAGTTACCCTTAAATAAAATAGTCAGTTTTTATAACTTACATATATAAACCGGTTTTATTAGTATTCGATTTTAATCGAAACAACCAATAAATCGGTTAATTTATTACGATTAATTGCAATTATAAATCGAATGCTTTCGGTTAATCAATTAACCGATTCATCGATTATTGAATTTTTGAGTACTACATACTGGAATTAAGATCAAGCAAACTTAAAAAATTAAGTATAATTATTTTTTTACGCGTCTCTTTGTGAAAATTTTGTTCATATGGGCAAATCTAAAAAATAGGTATACTCTCAAAAAAATTTTAATTTTTAAATTTGTGAGCACACCTATGTTTTATATATCATTTTATTCGTACTCTCTTAATGAATCGATTAACAAAGTGTAATTTACTTTTCATCAAGTGCTTCAAAAGTTAGACGAGGAATAAATAGCGCGTTCATGAAAAGTTTTTTGAGATAGGGCGTTTTCGAACTGGCTGCCGAGATAGGTCGATCTTCCACTCAGCAGTCGATATATCGTACGAACCAATTTAACAATCACAGAATGAGATACGTCAATGCAAAGCTAATAAAATTCTCCATAAACCATATATACTTCACTTTCCGATAGGACTGATAGTTTCTGACAAATAAAGTAACCATTCGTTTTTTTTATTTTTTAATAAAAAAAATGTAACAAAATCAAATTTTAACAGAAGAAAAATACAAAAAATAACAGGATCTGTGCCAAATTTTTGCATTTGTGCTAAAGCCTGTTCTGTTGGGAAAGCGAGGGATAAATAAAGAAGAATGAGTGATCAAATGAAAATACTCAAAGACTTTTTGTATGAAATATGAGCAGAAATGCTCATACTCAATACTCAAGTGTACGTGGCGTATGAGTAACTGAGTATGAGTAGAAATAGTGGCATCCATTGAACATTTTTGCTGTAAGCCAGTCTAATCGGTAATCGAGTAATAGATTTTTATCTACTACTAGTCTACAATCGCAATAGGGGTTAGCATTTCACAAACTAATAAATGTTTACAATATGAGTAGTATGCAAATTTAGTAATACTGATTTATTGATAATTTGACTTACCTCCAGCGGCAAATACTTTTGGGTTTGATGTCCCGAAAGAGCCATTGGTGGACTTAATGTTTCCACGAGCATCAAGTTCAAGACCGATTTCAGTCGGTAACGATTTTTCCGGACCCAAAAATCCCATTGCCAACAAAACTAAATCAGCGGGGTAGTATTTTTCACTGCCTTTTACTTCCGACATAGACCATTGTCCATTTGGTTGTTTATTCCATTCTACTTGAATTGTCTTTAATGCTGTTACGGTACCATTTTCTTCTATTAATTCTTTTGTTGTTGTGCAGTATTGGCGAGGATCATTGCCAAATTTTACTCGAACTTCTTCATGCCCATAGTCAACTCTATCCAATAAACAAATATATGCAAAAATAATATATTATAATAATAATATATTAATAGGTAATATTTATTTCATACCTGAACACTTTAGGCCATTGGGGCCATGGGTTGTCATTGCCACGATTCTTAGGAGGCTCGGGCAATATTTCGAAGGTGGTAATACTTTTTGCACCTTGCCGCAAAGCTGTGGCCATGCAATCGCAACCAGTATCTCCACCACCAATTATGATTACATGCTTGTCTTTAGCGCATATGATGTCATTCTTGCCACCAAGTTGCTTTTTCTGTTGAGATTCCAGAAACTCCATGGCAAAGTGTATACCATTTAAATCTCTGTTGTTTAAATTTAAATCACGTGGCGAGGTGGATCCAGTGGTTAGTAGTAATGCATCATACCTAAGGAGTTAAATTAACTGTAAAATCAAGATTTTCATTAAAATGTATATGAATGCTCTTACTGTTCCAGTAACCCCGATGCTTTTATATCTCTTCCGACATAAGCGTTTATGCGAAACTCTATTCCTTCATCAGCCATAAGAGCAATTCGACGCTTAACAACAGCTTTTGATAATTTCATAGTTGGGATGCCATATTGCAATAAGCCACCAGGTCTATCATTGCGTTCAAACACCGTAACGAAATGGCCTGCTCGATTCAACTGACTTGCAGCCGCTAGACCAGAAGGTCCAGAGCCAACAATAGCCACTCGTTTTCCAGTGCGTAACTTTGGTATTTCCGGCTTCATCCACCCCTGTTCAAATGCATGATCAATAATTGCACATTCAATGTTTTTGATTGTAACTGGCAGTTCCGATATGCCTAGAACACATGCCCCTTCGCAAGGTGCTGGACAAACCCTACCAGTAAACTCTGGAAAGTTATTCGTTTGTAAAAGTTGTCGCAAAGCCTCTTGCCAGTCGTTATTAAAAACCAGATCATTCCACTTAGGAATGATGTTACCCAAAGGACATCCATGTGTATTTGACTGACAAAACGGTACTCCACATTCCATACAGCGAGCTGCTTGTGTTTTCAAATGTTTGCGAATATATTGAAAATTATAAACTTCATCCCAGTCTTCTTGTCTTTCACTAGCCTTACGATATATATTTAAATCTCTTTTATACTTAATAAAACCTCGAATCTTATCCAATGGCTGCTCTGAAGAATTATTCTTTAAAGTTTCTTCAATATCTTTAATGGCTGGTTCTTTTTGTTTTTCCTTTACTTTTATAATTTCATTCACGCTTTCACTTTCTTCAGAGTATCCCTGTTTTATTTCCAAATTTTTTAATACCTTTTGATATTCATATGGAAAAACCTTTACAAATTTAGGCTGGCTCTCATTCCAATTCAAGCACACTTCTTTAGCGATTTGAGAATTAGTCTTCCTTACAAAATCATTTAGTAAACTCTTTACTAATTGTACATCCGACTCGTGCTCCAACGGGAACAGAGAAACGGATTCAAGATTAACTTTATTTTTGAAGGACCCATCAGTATCGTATATGTACGCTATGCCGCCAGACATCCCCGCAGCGAAATTCCGACCCGTTAAACCAAGAATTACAACAATACCTCCCGTCATGTACTCACATCCATGGTCACCAACGCCCTTAAATATGTACCATATGTATACTAAAGAAGATTAATTCCATAAAAAAATTAAATGATACCTCTACAACCGCAGTAGCGCCTGAATTCCTTACGCAAAATCGTTCAGCTGCTATTCCTCTGAAGTAAGCAGTGCCTTTAGTTGCACCATATAGACAAACGTTCCCCACTATCACGTTTAAGTGAGACTCAAAAGTGGAATTATCAGGGGGCATAATAACGACACTGCCCCCACATAGACCTTTACCAACATAATCATTAGCATCTCCTTTTAATGTAACGTTTACGCCACTAGACAAAAATGCGCAGAAACTTTGGCCGGCTGAACCTTCCAAAAATATATCAATGCTTTTCTCACGAGGTAGACCGTTCTCACCATATTTGCTGCAATTATATAAAACAAAAGAACAAATTTAAAAACCTTGATACATGTACAAAACACTTCAAAATGCTCTACTGGTGGAAAGTAGAACACATAAATAAAGGTCTTAATTCGGGAGAGTCTATTTCAGATCTCCATTTTTTGTACATACTTTTATTTTTTCATCCAACTTCATTGTGGCATAGAAGGAATGATATTGAATCTTACCCAGTGTATGACTCGATTCATGTCTACTATGCAAAATATGATTCAAGATCTCATATAATTATAGACCTTATGGAATGCTAACGGTGAAAACCAGCGTAGATTAGAACTCAGTCAATTTCTCACTGAATATAACACAGATATTATGTTACTGTCCGAGACACATTTAACAAATAAATATAATTTCTCCATACCTGGGTACAAATTCTATGCCACAAATCACACAGATGGTAAAGCTCATGGAAACACAGCGATGTTGATTAGAAATCGCCTAAAGCACAATATTCTAGACTCAAAAAGAAATTAATAGAGGGGGAATAGTTTTAGAATGTAAAAATAAAGATACTTGCGAAAAAGTGCATCAAAAAATAAGAGATAGTATTGGAACGGAGTTCCAGGCCCAGAAAGCTAAAGGAAAAGAGGAAATAAAAAAGATACTGAAAATAGTTGGGTTAACCGAAAAAATAAATAATGATCGCATAATAGAATGTCTAACTAAGCAAAATGATGAGTTCTTGGGAAAGGAGTTGAAAGTACTGAAAGTATACAAAAATAGAACGCGAAGAGAAGAAAGCTTCCACATTCTAGTTGAAACAGATGCTATGAAAGTGTCTTGAAACGTAAAAAACTAAATATCGAATGGGACACTTGCATGGTATTTGAGCATCTAAATATTATGAGATGCTTTAAATGTTTGGGTTATAAGCACAAGTCAAGTGATTGTACAAATAAAAAGGCATGTAGTAGATGTGCTGGAAATCACGATGTTAAGGATTGCGGCTCTGATATAATAAGGTGTGTAAATTGTTGTGAACTTGTTCAGAAAAAAGTAATGGATGTTAATGTAAATCACTCAGCATTCAGTTTGGATTGCCCTGCATACCAAAAATACGTTCAAGTCAAAAGCAAAACTAAAGTTTAGCAACGAAGTATTCATGAATTGAATATCATTTATTTAAACATAAACAGTATTACAGCTAATAAGTTTGAACTTGAGAAACTAATAGAAATTTGTAAGCCCCATTTGGTGCTATGTTCAGAAACCTGTTTGACCGAAGACATTACAAACCACGAAATACAGGTAGAAACCTACACCCTAATTAGATGCAACTCGAATAGTAGACACACAGGCGGTGTTTTAATTTACGTCCATCACTCAATTAAATATGAAACTCTCGTTAATTACTCGTGGGATAAAAATATTTGGTGTCTTCTTTTAAAAATTGGAAATGTTACCCCGAAATACCAAATAGGGGTAATATATCACTCGCCAAATTCTAGCGATGCTGACTTTATCAGCTACCTCAGTGAAATTTTAAACAATACTTGCCTAGATGATAATACTGTATTTATTGGAGACTTCAATATAAATCTATATAAAGCTACAACGTACAGTAAAAAATTGATAGAGTTATTTCAGTCCTTCTCAATGGTTCAGAAAATTAATTTTTATACTAGGAAATCGGGAGAGGTCGAAACTATGATTGATTTATTATTTACCAATAGCAAAAACATTTCGTGTCAAAGAATGGATATGCATCGGATCTCCGATCATGAGACAATTTATGTCAAGATCGAGTTGGAGAAAATATATAAAATGAGAGCAAACAAATTTATTATATCCTGGGAAAATTACACAAGTGATAATCTTCTTCACCAACTGAGGCAATACAATTACAGGGATTTTTCGAAATTAAGCATCGATGATAAATCGAAATTTTTAACTAATGTCTTGTCGCATTCAATGGGCATTCTAATATACACTAAAGAAATAAGGCTCAAGCTCATGAACAAGTGGTATGATGCTGAATTAGCAAACTTTAATAAACAAAAGTATAATCTTTACAGGATAGCATTAGAAACAGGGGCCTGGAGTGACTATAATACAACAAACGTAGATACAAGAGGAGGGTAAAGATTAAAAAGGTTAAATACTTGGAGCATAAAATAACAGTTAATATTGGAGATAGCAAATCAATGTGGAAGCATCTAAAAAATTGCATAAGTATGTCAAAGGAAATAAACGCCATTAATAAAGTGTTAATTCACAACACCTTGTACACAACGGAAAATGGGATTGCACAATCACTAAATAACTACTTTATTGACAGCATTATTGAAATTACCTCAAATATAGAACCTGGAAAAAAAGAATCCTTTACGACTCCAAATTGCACACATAACTTTAAATTTATAGAAATCGAAACCGATGAAGTGCTTGAAATTGTCAGTGGTTTTAAAAATAAAATTGGAGGAAAAAAACTATTATCTGAGGGAGTCATAAAAGACTCTATAACATATACAGGGTACTTTTACACGCAGTTAATTAATGAAAGCCTAAAATATGGTGTTGTTCCTGATCACTGGAAAACATCTATTGTTGTGCCAATTGAGAAAGTCAAGAACACAATCAGAGCCGACGAGATGAGACCAATTAATACGTTGCCTAGTGATGAAAAAATTCTTGAAACGGTAGTTAAAAAACAACTAATAGAATATTTAGAAACTAATAAAATATTAATGCCACAACAGTCTGGTTTTAGGAAAAGGCACTCGTGTGAAACTGCACTAAACTTAGTATTAGCTCGCTGGAAAGAAGAATTGAGCAGAAATAAATACATAGTTGCCGTCTTCTTAGACTTAAAGCGCGCATTTGAGACCATCGATCAAGAGTTACTTCTAAATAAATTGAGTAATATAGGGATACGGGGCGTTGAGCTAAAATGGTTTCAAAGTCTTATTACAAATCGTTACCAGAGAACACAGATTGGATCGTCGGTATCTGACAAAAGAAGTATAGTGGTTGGTCTACCTCAAGGCTCAGTGCTAGCACCTATATTATTTAATATATACATAAATGATATTGCCAACGGTATTAAATATTGTGATATTAATCTTTTCGCTGATGACACGTTAATCATGTTAAGTGGTGACCATATTACTGATATTGTTTCAAAACTACAAGATGACTTAAATAAAATATATAATTGGCTATGTTTAAACAAACTTAAAATAAATGTAAGTAAAACCAAATACATGGTCATATCCAGAAGAAATATTGATATGCATGAACTTCGTAGTTTAAACATAAACCAACAAAAAATAGAAAGGGTGCGTTCAATGATCATATTGACTATACCGTAAGCAAAATAGAAAAAAAAATGTACTTTATGCGGCGTACTTGCAAATTACTGAAAAGGAAATATAAAATAATGGTATATGGATCAATAATAAAACCTCTCCTCAATTATTGTCCAACAATTTTCTTCATAATGAATGATAGCCAAATTTATAAATTGCAGAAACAATAGAACCAAGCAATGATATTCATTCTTCGAAAACGATATGACACGCCCATTAGAGACATGTTATCAGCCCTTGGTTGGTTAAGTGTGAAACAACAGCACTTTTATTATACGATGAAATTTGGTAAAAACATTATTGAAGATAATTTACCAGAATACCTAAAGATTAACTTAAAGTATGGCAGCAATGTACACAATAAAGATACACGTAAGAAAAATGACTTTTCTCTTTTTACTTGTAATATAAACATTTCTAAAATAAATGTATTTTTTGATTGCTCTTCGTAGTTTCTGTCTTTTTTTAGTGCCTTATTTTGCTTTTTTTGCAATACCTAGTGCCTTTTCCTGCCTTTTTCGCTATTTTATTTTGCCTTTTTTTATAGGTTTTTAGGTCCTAAAAATCCGTTCCCTGTTAATGATAATAATAGATTGGCGCTTACACAAATGTATGTCAGTTACCATGTTTATATGATGCTTAAATTCGTTCTAAGTTAAACCATGTTATTTGGACACACACATGTAACCACATTCTTAAGTCGAATTGAAACTTTTAACCGTGCCACCATAAATCACACTTTGAATGCGAGTTAAGAGTTGTTGAATCGTGTTAAGAGTGACCACACGGTTGTTTCATGCAACTCTGTATGAAGTAAAACATTAAATAGTTCTTGAAATTACATTTAGGCTAAGCTTTCTTACAAAATTAGTTGCTAATATCGTTTTTCATGGCTGTTTGGGTCTTTAATTATTATTTTTCCATGTTTATTACTTTCAAGAAATGGCACATGTATTAACAGGGTTGCATCGGGATGAACTCTGTTTGAAAGCGTGTTCGATCGACTCATTTCTTTAGTTGCATATAAACACTTGCATTTCAAGCGAGCTACACTGACACGAGTTAATTCGATACCGAGTTTGATGCCATATAAACAAGGTAAGTGTTTGGCCGAGCTTCTCCTCCGATTTGTGGCGTGCGCCTTGATATTGTCACACAAATGGGACTGACTCCAAACGGCGATTGTAGTTTTATGAGGAGGTGTTTTTCGTGGCAGAAATACAGTCGGAGGTTTGCTATTGTCTGGCGAAGGGCGACCGCTATTAGAAAAAAACTTTTTTGCTTTTGTTGTTGGTTTGAGCGGGCTTGAATCAAGGCACTGCTAAGCACTACACTACAGCAGCCGCTGTGAACTTGTTTCATATGTATGTACATATGAGACCATGAGAACAGAAGTGGCCTAACCCAAAATTTAGTTTTTTGTGCTTGCCTTCTTAAGATAGTCTCAAATGTGATCTATTTTAAAATAAAATTCGATTATTACTTAATTTTACGGTGCAGAGCTACATAACGTACTAACAAATTAAGGATTGCGCGACCTTTACTCTAAAATTTATTACATTTGAAACTATTTAAAGAAGTTAAGTACAAAAAAAATGTAGGTTAGCCCACTTCTGTACTCATGGCTACATATATGTGTGGAAAAATTTGCTTTGCA